ATATATCTATAAATAAAAAAATCGAAACCTATAACAAAATCCACCAAAAACACATTAAAAAAAAACTACCAAATTTGCTAATAAAAAAAAGCAACGCCTTCACCTGCCGTCTGCGCCGTCCTCGTTTCGGTTAGATGCAATTGCCATTGTGATACAGCCGCAGCCAGATGTGCGAATGAAATGAATGCAGCAGCAGCAGCAGCCGTAGCAACAACAACAACAACAAGGAGCAGCAGTCGCGGCAGGAAGCTGTGTGGGCAGCGTTGTGTGCCATGTTATATGGAATGTATGGATATGCTAATTGCAAGTAGTGCAGCAACTTCTGTCACTGACAAATACTAATGAAACACCACACACACATACATGCACACATATTCACACGCACAGACACGCATATGCTGCATCCAAATACATTCAGCATCTGTGGCCTGTTGCTTGCGCCTGCATCAACACTCATCTGTATGCAACAGCAGTAACTGCAACCAACAACATCCACCAACAACAATAGCAACAACATCCAACAACAGCAACAACAACAATCYGAAGAAGAAGCAAAACAATGTATTGAATTTTGTGGCCATTTCTGCTTGCGTTTTGCCAGCCAGTAAAACAAAACAAAAAACAAACAAACATTACAATAACAAATCAAGCATAGTTTTATAGTTTAATTTAAAGAAGATGAAAACAAAAAAAAAACGCATATAAATAATATCTTTGAATCACTTATAAGTTGTAGTACATAATGAAAAGTGCAGCGAACAAAAACAAAACACAAAAAAAATCTAATTAAAAATACTTAATTCAACTGCAAATATTTATGCATTAAACAATATGCATTTGTTTAAATGCCATTATAGAAAAAAAAAAAAAAAAAAACAAAGAATATCATTTATAGAATCTCATCTGCTAAAAAAAAAAAGAGGAACATTTTATCATATTAAATTTTTTTGAACGATGCGATGAAGAATCTATTATACATATATATATTATTTAGACTACACAAAAATTGTTTTATCTGTGTAATAATGAAAATACACACACAACCTTATACACACAGACATACGCACCTCGTCTACTCATTGTACAGGCAGCAAATAGATTGTTGTTTGCGCAGCTTATGTTTATGTTTATAACAAAATATATACAATTAATTTTTTTTGTTAAATTGACGCAAATTCATTGTTAATGAAGTATTTCGATTATGATTATGTTAAATACCATATACAAC